CCAAATCCAGGATTTCTTTGGGTTCACATCTTCCAAATCACCCTCTCAGTCATCCAGTTGGACCTCCTGTGACCAGCCACATTTCAGGTGGTGACACACTGGTCTCAGATAGGCTGGGCACAGAGTCTTGCCACTGGCCCCACCCTTATGAAATCAACACACTTGACAGCCACTAACTACACTCTGAGTCATCTCCCTCCCAATGGATGTCCAGAACCTTCTCTTTTCTTTCTAGAACACAACCCCTACAGCAGTCTGAGGGAGCACCTGGGCTAAGAAATTAACTGTCCCTTGTTTTCTGGGCTATAGGCCCATAGTGAAAATAAATGAAGTACCTCTCCTTCTTCTAATGGACAACCAGAGTTTAAGTTCGGAGGGTTTGGGTTTCTCTTCCCCAGAAAGGTAAGGCCTTTTCTTCTACCAAGTAGATAAAACACCAAACCACAGCATTAATAATGCTGAGCCCTTTTAATATGCTTATAGATTATACATATATCTCCTTTTGTGAAGTATCTGGACAAATCACTTACTCATATTTTTAAGAGTGAAAGCTGTAAAGATAATACAGAGCTCTAATTACCTTTCAGTAGTCCCTGCTAACACCTTCACTGAGACTTTGAGACCTCCTCCCTGCTGGCCTGAGTCCCTCATTCTACCAGGGAGCCTGTTGTCTGCATCAGTGATGGAACACGCTGACTCTGGGGTCAGGGGAGTGTGACAGTCACCAAAGAAAAGATGTTTTGGTGCTTTATGGAGCTCAAGGGCAGAGCCAGCCTTCTAGAACAGTACTGTTTTTGTTCCTGCATACTGGAAAGTGTTCCTGTATTTGTAGATTTGAGACTCAGGTTTGCATTTTCAGTGAAACAAACAGCCTCATGATAGGGCCTTAGTCAGGGCTGGAGGGACTACTACCCTTACAAGATATCATGCCTTGTGTACTGTGGGGGAGCCAATGCCAATATTGGTGGCTGTGTCTTTGAAGGGCTCTAGGAAAGGCTACTGTGAGGCCACATTTAGTCTCTCTTGCAGTTCTTGTATTCATTATCACACAAGCAACTTCTTCTGTTGCGTTCAAATCAGAAATGTGGAAAAACAAAAGGAAACAACTGAAATTCCAGCAAGTGACAAATGTTTTAAGCAGACATTTCTCAAAGATCTGTAAACTCATGAAGATTCCCAGCATCATCAGTTGTTAAGGAAATACAAACAAAAATCACAGTGAGATTCTCTTCACATCCACTAGGAAGACTTGTATTTAAAAAAGAAAGAAAGAGATTTAACAAGTGTTCAAGAGTATCTCGAGAAACTAAAAGTCATCTACATTGCTAGTAAAACTATAAAATTGTGTAACTGTTATGGAGATGAGTTTGGGAGTTACTCATAAAGTTAAAAATAAAATTATCGCAGGGTGTGGTGGCACAAGCCCATAATCCCAGCACTCAGGAGGCTGAGGTAGGATGATTGCTCCAAGTTCCAGACCAGTTTGGGTCACATAGGATGTTCAAGGCCAGCATGAACTACACAGTGAGACTCTGTCTCCAAAAAATGAAAAAAAATTATAATATGATGTAGTGATTCTATTCTTAACTATATACCCAAAAGAATGAAAAATAATGCTCACACAAAAACTTTACCCACGCATCTATATCAGCTTTATTTATGATAGCCAAAAAGGAAAAATAAAACCAAATGTCCATCACCTGATAACTGGTTAAACAAAATGTGGCATCATCCCAAAATGTTATGTTACTTGGTAACAAAAAGAAATAATGGACTGACACATGTTACAGTGCAGGTGAACTCTGAAGACATTAAGCTAAAAGAATCCAGATATAAACAGTCATGTGTTATATGATTCCATTTACATGAAATGTCCAGAATAGGCAAACCTATAATGACAGAAGTAGATTAGTGGTTTCCAGGAACAGGGCAGAGGAGTGATAAGGGATTTCTTTTTTAGGAGATGAAAATGTTCTGAAATTAGGTGGCGGTGTTTGCACAACTCTGAGTATACTAAGAACACATCCTAAACACCAACCAATCACAAGAAATTAATATTTAGGTAGATATTGTCTTAGTGCACTTTGTGCTGCTATAGCAAAATATCACAAGCCAGGTAATTTATAATGAACAGAAATTCACTGGCTCATAGTTCTAGAGACTGGGAAGTCTGAGCTCATGGTGAGAGGTGTCTGATAAGGATTTACTTGCTGTGTCATCCATGGCAAAAGGAGAGAGCGTGAAGGGCAAAAGTGGGCCAGATTCATCCTTTAGCACCTATGTGTTTGGACCTTGAATCTCTCCACAGGCCATGTGTTGAAGCCATGGCCCCTAGCTGGTCGCACTATTGAAAGGTGGTAGAACCTATAGGAGGTGTGGCCTAGTATAAGGAAGTTAGTTCATGGGGCAGCCTTTGAAGGTGATATGGAGACACTGGCTCCTACTTCTTTCCCTGCTCACTTTCCAAGCCACCATTCAGTGAACAGGCCTCCTCTGCCACACATTCCCACCGTGAAGCACTGTGCGTCAAGTGACCATGGTGTTATAGTTTGGATCTTAAATATTCCCTGAAGGCTCAGCAGAAAATCCAGAGGATCATTAATACCTACTTCAAGAACATGTACTCTAAGCAAATGGAAAACACAGAAGAAATGGACAGGTTCCTAGTTACATATGAATTACCAAAATTGAACAAGGAAGATATAAAAATTCTAAACATCCCAATTATAATCAGTGAAATTAAAAATGTAATTAAAAGTTTACCAACAAAGAAAAGCTCAGGTCCTGATGGCTTCACTGCTGAATTCTGCAAGACACTTAGAGAAGAACTATTGCCACTGTGCTTTAAACTTTTTGATGAAATTGAAAGGGAAGCAATACTTCTGAATTCATTCCTGGAAGCAAGTGTTACTTTGATTCTAAAACCAGGGAAAGACCCAACCAAAAAAGAGAACTACAGGCCAATCTCCCTAATGAACATAGATACAAAATCCTCAATAAGATACTGGCAAACAGAATCAGGGGGTCATCAAGAAGATCATACACCCTGACCAAGTTGGATTTATCCCAGGGATGCAAGGATGGTTCAACATATGTAAATCAATAAATGTAATACACTATATTAACAGAGCCAAAGACAAAAAACATTTGATCATCTCAATAGACACAGAAAAAGCATTTGACAAAATCCAACACCCATTCATGATAAAAACCCTACAGAAAATTGGAATATCATCTCAACCTGATAAAGGCTATCTATGAAAAACTGACAGCCAACACCACACTAACTGGTCAAAAACTGAAAGCTTTCACACTAAAATCAGGAACAAGACAAGGTTGTGCACTATCACCAGTTCTGTTCAGTATATTTCTGTAAACAATAGCCACAACAATTAGATAAGAGGAAGAAGGAATAAAGATAAGAAAGGAAGAAATTAAACTGTCATTATTTGCTGATGGCATGATACTCTACATAGAAGACCCAATAAATTCCAACAAAAGACTTCTACAAAACTGCACCAATTGCCAGGCATGGTAGCGCATGCCTGTAATCCCAGCACTCGGAAGGCTGAGGCAGGAGGATCACACTTTGAGTTCCAGACCAGCCTGGGCTGCTGAGTGAGTTCCAGATCAGTCTCAAGTACATAGTGAGACCCTGTCTCAAAAAACCAAAACCAAACAAAACAATTGCACCAGTTACTTAACCAATATATTATTGTTAGATATTTAGGCTACTTTTAATCTCTCATTATTCATCAACAGCACACTTGAATATCCTTCTTGTTTCATTTTGTGACAGGATCTTGCTATATGGTTCAGGTTGGTCTTGAACTTACTATGTAGACCAGGCTGGCTTCAAATTCATGGTGATCCTCCTGCCTCAGCCACCCAGTACTGGGATTTGTAAGCATGTTTCACCATATCCAGCTCTTGAATACTCCTTTTGTCCTGCTTTTCTAATTATTTCCTTAAGACAAATATCAAGCAAGAAGATTGCTAGATTTGTTTGTTTGTTTGCTTTGGTTTTGTTTCATTTTTTTGAACCAGGGATTGAACTCAGGACCTTGCCCTTGTGAGGCTGGTGCAGTGCCACTGAGCTAAATCTCTGGCCCGATATTTTTAAGATATTGAGAATTTGTCCAATTGGTCCCAGAAGTCCATGTTTAACTTGTACACCCAAAAGGATGAAGGAATACAATCCCCCAAATCCTCTTCAACACTCCATATGTCTACTCCTTTTTCTTTATTGCTTATCTTGCTCCCCAAGCCTACCCAGGTGATTGTCACTGGAAACCAGCTTCAATGAAGTATGTAACTCAAAGCCAAAGGTCCCACAGAAATTGGAGGACTATAGGACGCCCAGAAAAAGTGAGTTTTCTTTTAACTGTAAGACTTCATCTAAATTGTGCCCCCAAAGTTGATTTTTCTGTTGCTGTTGGCAATTTTTTGCAGCATGTTTAATAAGAATTAGCTCCTAAGACTACACAGTTCCTATCAGTGAAATAAGAGTAGCTATAATCTGCTTGGAAAGCTGTTGGAGAGTCAGTCTAAGCCAAGGACTGAGCAAGCGCTGTACAGTGGAAGTCAGTTCCAGAGTGATAAGCACCAGGCTGGGCATGGTGGCACACGCCTGTAAACCCAGCACTCAAAAGGCTGAGGCAAGACAATCGCTAGGAGTTCGAGGCCAGTCTGGGCTACATAAGCAAGACCCTGTTTCAAAAAAACAGTGACAAGCAAACAGCAAGCCTCCCACCACAGGCTCATAGCACCCTCCAAGCACACATTAAGCCATCTCGGTAAAGAGTTGTAGCCCCATTTCTTAGGTTAAGAAATTGACTACTAAAGTCAACAGTCACTTGAGATCTTATTGCTGCTAAGGGGAGCTGATAGGAGCCACTCAGGCCTGAAGCCTTTCTAGAACATCAGGACCTGACCAAACGATTGAACTATGGTTGGGAGAACCCTCACCACTTTCCTGGTCCCCAGCTACAGCCCTGGGGCCTTCTCTTCACACACTCACGTAACTGGCCTGGGGACCTCAGGCTTGGCATCCTCCTCTACTTCACACACTTCACTTTGAACTTAGCAATATAAAATCACCATTTTATTGGGCTCCCAAATTCTGTGAGTTAGGAATTTGGACAGAGCACTGTTGGGGTGTTTTCCCTCTCAAACAGATAAGGGTGACTTCAAGGGCTGGGCACTGAAATCATGTACAACTACACAGTACAATATGATAGCCACTAGGTACATGTAGCTATTTAAATATGGATTTAAATTAATTAAATTGAAATGAAATATAAAGTTCAATTACTCAGTGGCGTGTCATATTTTAGGGTTCCATAGCTGCAAATGGCTGAAAATGTACTGTGGTACGGTACAGTACAGACATAGAACATTCTCATCACGCAAGTTTATTGGAAATTCAAATTCATCTGGAAACCTGTATGCTCATGTGCTAAACCTTCCACCGTACATGGAAGCCACTAAGTCCAGCCAGAGTCAAGTGAAAGAAAATTCAGTCCTATCCTTGATGAGGAAGTGACAAGTTCATACTGTGGAAGAGGACATGGGACAGGAGATACTTTTGTGGCCATCTATGGAAAATATCTACAAGCTATCTCAAGTTGCCAAAGGGCCCCCACAAAAAGTTAAGGTTAGAGAACTTTATGGCTCTGTATCACCGAAGAGATGGCACTCAAGTGTCGTGACCTAGATGAATAGAACTGGGAAAAAGGATACACTTTGCTGCTTCTTCACTTTCACTTTGAGGCCAACTGTCATCAGATAATAGCTCAAAGTTTATTGCCAATTTTGTCTTAATCGATTCCACGACCAAAATTAGCTATAAAGAATGGAAATCAATACTCCATAGCTCCATGCAGACAATATTTTTTCTAAACCAATACTACTTGTCACAAGTAGATGTGGAGGACACTCTCGAGACCCAAAGGCCCTGTGAGTTAGGCCATCCTGGGGCACAGAGGAGCCAAATGGAGTCAGTGTGTCCACCAAACAAAGACCCCAAGAATCAAGCAATCTCCTGAATGCAGCAGTTTATTGAGCATTTGTCACATTCACAGAAAGACAGAGGGGATCTCACCCACAGCATAAGCTAGAAGCTGGAGTGGTGCAGGATCTTCCTTCTACGCAGACAACACGCTGCCATGAGAACAAGGAGAGGTCCCATGGGCAGCAGTAGAACTCATGGTGACAGCCAGGGTACAGCCAGGGAGCCAGACAGGGCCTTCTGGATGGGCAGAGTGACACAGACAGTTGCAGAAGAGCGTACCCAGAACAGAGTCCACAAACTGTGAGCCCAAAGACTGAACCAAAGAGCAGCTGGAAGCTTTGTCTTTTATGCCATGGGAGTCAAATACAAACAACACATACTAATCTTACAGTGGTGTACAAATAACATGTGCTAATCCTTGCTGGTAAAAATGTATTTCTCTTTATGATAAAAATAAATTTTTTAGAAAACATGTTTTTATAAGTTTCTTGAGAGGATTCACAAGATAAGTTTTCTGGCACACAGGCCATATGGCTATCACATTATACAGTTACCACACAAATTATCACACAGGCACACCAGTTGTATGGTTATCACAAGCTAGTTTAGAAACAGACAGACGTGTAAGACGGCTTCTGTCCTGCTCACACCATTCCACCCCAATCCCCTAAGGTGTGCATTAAAAGACCCCAAAGGGAATCAAACAAGATATCTGGCAGGTGTACTTTTTTAGGTTTTGTGAAGCAATACAGAGCGACCGACATACAGAGAACAAGTCCATCTATTGTGAGTCGAGTTGTGAAGACTTTTCTTGATGTAGTTGTCCTGGTCCCTAGGTGATCCAGAACGTGTCATCTTCTCATTTGCAATTATGTCATCTGTGGGAAAAATGAACAGGTTTGTCTCTGGATTTTACCTTGATCTTATTTCCCATTGGTTTATTCGTGTTGTTAATCCATACATGATGGACATAAAGTTTCCAATGTTATATGCATCAAGGCTGGGAAAAATATGAGAATGAGGCATGAAACTTGGAGTCATTTGAGAGTGTAAGTTAAAACATGCTACATCCAGGGATTCCTGAAAAGAAACGTATATAATCCTGATTTCTTGCTTAAGCAATCCATTGAATCATTCTGTGGTGCCAGAGACAGTTGGGCAAGATGAAATTCCACATTATATCCATAATTTGGGCCCACTTTTGGACCATTTTGTTAGTAATGTGAGTGCCTTGGTTAAATTCTAAGACTCTTGGTGCCCCAAATGCTGCCAGCCATTTATAAATAGCCCATCTGTGGCCTTCCATCTGGATGTACTATAGTATCTAGGCTAGACCAATCCCGGTGTGGGTGTCAATCATCATATGTGCATATTTTTGTGGGAATTTGAGAGCAAGAGGACCTATAATGTTTGGAATGTCTGGTTTATAATGGGAAGTGGGCGGTCTCCTAATATACTTAGAGATATTTTCTTCACATTACTCATATCTCCTGACTGCATTTGAGATGTCCTTCCAGATGGTGTTAAGATTTTTTTTGGTCATGCAACACCCATAGAGAGAGTGTGTCCCTCTATGCCCTAATATAATATGCAATTGCAATAATTGTCCCATTGTTAATTGGTAGAATGTGGTTGTGCTAGGTGGCAATCTGCCTGATTCTAAGCTTTGTTGGCCCTGATTCAATACTTTTTTAGTTTTAACGTGGTAATTTGTGCGAAATGATCCACTGTATTGTTATGCTGAGCTGTTTCTGATTTATCTCTCTGATGTGCACTAACGTGTGCAAAATATTTTGATATGTCACCCAGCCTCATTAAGCTTTAGCTAGATGTCTCTGGACCAAGTCAGTTTTCCATTAATCTCAAAATTATTAGTTTTTTAGACTGATGACCAGATCAGAAGGCCATTATATATACCCCATACCCCACCAGTCGGTAAAGGTGAATCTTTCTTGACTTTCAAGCAGTGACTGCTCAACCACTAACCATATCGCCATTGCCTCAGCCATTTGTCTGAGGAGGTTTGACCCTCCTCTATGAAGGTTTTTTAGTCCATTGAGTGGAATGCTGCTGTCATCCAGTGTATTTTGGCATCTTTGTTTCATGCTGACCTGTCCATGGTAAACTACACATTTGGTACTTGGGGCCCAAGTGGGGGTTCTATAAACCCAATTGGGTTTGGCAGTGGTTGTGACTGAAAGGATTGGGGGGCTCCATTTCCAGGTCATGGCCATGAGTCTGGAGGCTTGCCCTGAAGCTGTAAATCCCATTCATTCATATACCATTTCCGTTTTGGGTGGAACTTGGCATCCAGTTGGATGCCTTTATGCTCTTGGGGATGGACCTTCACCGTAGCAATAGGTGTGCGAACTCACAGTCACTTGGCAATAACAGGGTCACTTGTTTAGGTGTCTAATACTATGTTCCTCTCAAAAATAGAGTGTTTATTTTCAGAGTATAGAAATTGGTCCAAAAACTCATGGGCAATGATTTTCCATCTTTAATGGCTGAAAGTTACCATGATCCATATCCATGAGTAAATATTATCTCAATTGTATATTTGGCATTGTGTATTCTATGTGGCAATTTTCAATAGGTTCTCAACATATTCTTTAAGCGTTTGTAGGGCTCTTGGTTGTTCTTCACTCCAAGAAAAGTCCTGTGCCTTCCTAGTCATTCTGTAAAATATTGCAATATTAGTTGCAAATATGGTATATATTGTTTTTAATGTCCAAATAGGTCAAACAATCTCTGGGTTTCTTTTTTACTTTTACGAATGAGTATTTTTTTTATTTTATCTATGACAATACTTGGTGTCATTTGCCCATTGTATTCCCAGGAATTTTACATTTTGGTTTGGTCCTTGAATCACATTTGAGTTTATGCTCCATCCTCTAGATTTGAGATGTATTACCAGTATACCTAAGCCCTTTCTTAAACGGTCTTGGTTTGAGTTAATTAAGAAAATATCCTTATAATGTAACATCTCACTATCCAATGTAATTTATCCTAGTATCTCACTGAGAGTAGCGCGTGCTATGACTGGGCTGTTCTGAGATAACCTAGTAAAGCAATATTGTTGGGTCAGGGATTTAGCTCAGTGGTACCACACCTGTTTCGCAAGTGCAAAGTTTTGAGTTGGATCCACAGTACTAGGGGGAAAAAAGCAATAATGTTTTCCCTGCCATGAAAATGGGGTTAATTCCTGAGACTCCTCATCCACAAGTATACCAGTAAATCTATGGTTGCAAAATCTTGTGATTAGTTATAACATTGATAACCTCCTCTATATCAGATAATGTTCCAGCCACTGTGGGTGATTCATCATTTGATGCTCTGACATCTATAGTAAGTTTATGGGTTTCGTCAGCCTTTCCAACAGGCCAGGCTGGGGTATTGTAATCTAGGGCTTTTTTTTTCCTCCTAATGCCTTCCTTTAATAATTGCTCAATCTTGTCTGTTAACTCTTGATGTCCCCTTTTAAGTGGGTATTGTTTTATAAAACTATTCATGAATGGGGTGGACAACTTTATAGGTTTCATGTCTACAGTTGCTAACCTAACTAAATTTTTGGTCTCTTTGATTGGACTAATCTTCTTTCTTTTTTTTTTTTTTTTTTTTTTTTGTACCAGGGTTTGTCCCTTGGAATTACTATCACCAATGCTTTTCACTTGCTCGGAGATTCTGCCGGCAAAGGATTTGCCCTTCATTCTGTCCTTGTCTGCATCTGCAAGGGCTTTCAAAAGCAATGCTAGTAGTTCCTTCTTGGTAGCTCGTGACAATAGGGGATATAGGGCTGTAGAGCACATCCATTTTTCCTTTACATATTGGGGCTCCTTGTATGGCAGCCTTTCCTTTATTATTTTCTGTTCCCATTTCTTATTGTCATAGATTATATCCTTATGACAGGTACACTCTCATAACCAACACACTCGTTTCATCATCTTATCAATTTCTGTGGGGTCAGAGATGACCCTAATAGGGGATGAGTTTGAATGTCCCAAGCTTGGAATCATAGTTTTGTCTTTCTGGTGTCCACCACCATCCAGAAGCCCACCAGGAGTTGCTCCAATAAGACAAAATATATTCCTATCACCCAGGAAATTTCTAGGGATTGGGGGCTCTGCAGGAACTAGTGGACAGAGACCAAGTACATGTTTCTTATCATATAATCGTATCATAATCTTCAGTTTACAGAGATAGATCATGGGACTTTTCAGTTTCCATAATTCCATAATCACATGAACCAATCTTTCATAATAAATTTCTTTAGCAGTAAGAATATATTGCTTTTCTAATAAGAAATTCATTTTGTAAAAGTTTTTTGAGACAGGGTCTCACTGTTTAGTTCAGGCAGGCCTTGAACTTACTGGGTTGCCTAGGCTGACCCTGAACTCGCAGCAATCCTTCTGCTTCAACCTCCTCAGTGCTAGGATTACAGGCATGCCCCACCATTCCCAGCTTACATAAACATTACTTTTTAAAAAGAAGGAATGGATTGTCAAGAAAATTCCAAATTAAAAAGAACACAAACTAAAGTGCTACAAATACCAATCATGGATGATTACTTATCTCATTGCTATCTCTTTCTTGTTAACAAAATTCTGATTTCACTCAGGGTCAGTTTGTTTAACTGAAGAAGATCAATCATATTGGCCCAAAACCTCATCCTGTCTATAATTGGTCTAAGGGTAGGGACGTGACTCAGTTTTGCTAATAAAACATAAGTGGAAGTGTGCTTATGGCTGTTAGGGAATAGTTTACTTTTTAGTTAAAAATAAAAGAGAGAAAAGGGCCAGGAATTTACCTCAGTGTTTTCGCTGCCTGCCTCACAAGTGCAAGATCCTGAGTTCAATACCCAGTACCAAAAAAAAAAAAAAAAAAAAAGAGAGAGAGAGAAAGAAACAAAAGAAGAAAAGGCCCATTTTATATTCCTTAAACTTTGAGGATGCTACTGTATGAAGACAATACTTGGTACTACAGCAGCCATCTTGTGACCATGAATGATGTCTTAGGTACCTTTCTTGTTGCTGGGACAAAATACCCAACACCACAAGTTAAAGGAGGAGAGGTTTAGTGCAGCTCACAGTTTGTAGAAGTTTCAGTCCATAGTTTGCTGTCTGCAAGGCATGGCAGGCATGAGTGGCATGGCAGAGGGACATCACAGAGGAGAAACAGCCCATGGCCAAGTAGGCAGGAGGCAGCAACAACAAGCAGCAGCAGCTTGCCTTCCAACTTTCCCTTTTTATTCCATTCAACCAATAACCCTAATGGTCGGTGCTACCCAAGGTGAGGCTTCCATTAACCACACCCAGAACTACACTGAACCAATTTAGTTATCACACACCCTTAATCCCAGTATCATCTACCCTAACTCAGCATCACATACCCATGATCCAGCTACTTACCAAAAGTTTTGGCTATGAGCACATGAGGCTTGTGGGGGGGCATCTAGATAGAAGCCATGACAAAAGGAGACTGTCAACATGCTGGAGGGCTGGAAGAAGTGAGATCCTTTTGTGCTTTAGAAGGGAGAGAATTGGGTTTTCATGTTATTGTGGTAAGAGGTGCCTCCTTCAAACCTTGTAATGACATCTAGCCTAACTCCTCAGAGGTACAGTGTTAACAATGTGTTTCACACACTTGTATAAATTTCTGAACAAACAATTTAAATAGAAACAAGAGGCTACTTAATCATATTGCTGCACCTTATTATTCCCACTATTTCTTAGAGCTCTTACATACCTATATAAAAATCCCCTTCTTTACAGTTGCAGAGTATTTCATTATGTGGATGTATTATAATGCATTTAATGAGTCTTCTGTTGATTAACATATAGAGTGTTTGAGGGTTGAGGATTTAGCTAAGTGGCACCATGTCTGCCCGGCAAGCACAAGGTCCTGAGTTTGATTCCCTGGTACAAAAAAAAATTTTTTAGGGTGTTTGTTATTACAAACAATGCTATACATACTATATCATTTAGAGAGTTTTGGAATGAAAATAACAGCATACAACTAAAAGTAGTTTAAACCATAAAGATTTATTATCATACATAACAAAAAATATATTGCCAGATGGTCCCAGAATGGGTTTATTTAGTGGAACAACAATGTCACTAAAGGACCCAGAGCTTACCATATTTCTCTCGCCACCCTAAGATTGTTAGATAGTTTTGTCTTGGGTTTGGAAGTAAGGTGGCTGCCATACCGCCAGACGTGCCATCATCATTCAACTCTACTTAAAGGAAGACATCAATTTTTCCTCACTGACCTGCTTTTCCCAAGGAGGAAAATTTTCCTCAGGAACCCTGCTGCAGAATTTACCTCATCTATCACTGGGTAGAATGTGCCCCTTCATAAGCCAATTATTAGGGCTGGGGATTTGGCTCAGCGGTTCTTCTACCTGCCTCGCAAGTGCAAGGGCCTGAGTTTGATACCCAGTACCCCCCACACAAAAAAAATAAGCCAATCATTGTCAAAGAGGACAATGGCTTTTTGGCTTTTATTAGTAAAGGTTTATTCCCTGGGGCTGGGAAAAGACATGTTTTTCCTGAGCAGAGTGCATCCTGACATCTGAACCAACTCAGGTGATACTGTCAGGAAGAAAGAATGAAACATTTATTGGACAATGACAAAGAAGGTCTCCCACAAACACCGTTTTATATCCATCTTTGTGCGTGTGCATGCAAATATAATTCGCACAAAGTCCTCCCAAAGAAAAAGCCCAAAGTCCTTTTATGCTGGATCAAAAAAGTGTGCTCATTGAAATGTTGATGGGCATAGATGGATGCATAGATGGGTAAACAAACTGTGGTACATACCTAAGGCTGGGTGTCACCTGGCCTTAAAAAGAAATGCAATTCTGACACCTGCTACAATGTGGATGGACCCTGAAGACATTATGCTAAGTAAATAAGCCAGATACAAAAGGATAAATATTATATAACTCCATATACATAAAGTACTTTGAATAGCCAAATTCATACAGACAGAAAATAAAACGATGATTGCCAGGGGCTGGGTAGAGAAATAGGGAGTTACTGCTGGAAATTCAGTTTGGGAAAATGAAAAGGTTTTGGAGAGCTAGAGGGTGGAGGTGGTTACATATCAATGTAAATGTCGTTCAGACCATTGAACTGCATGCTAAAACATGGTTTAAATGGTATTTTATGTTATGTCTATTTTACCACCATAAATTATTGTGGATGGATACTGACAAGCTATCCTCAATGAAATTTTAGCACTCATACCTCTCACCTTTGTGTATGGGGCCTTGCTTGAGTTTCTCACAATTTCTGAGTCCGCTGTTCGTCCCTCAGTAGTGGCCCAGAGGACATCAGCAGACATAAAAGACCAATAGCAGAACAGTCAGTTTTACACATAAGAAGAATCTTCAGAAAAGAAGCACTAAGCAGGCATCTCTCTGTGTCCCTCTTGAGTTTTGACCATGTCTGAGCTTCTTTTCTCTTCATGGCTGCCATTCTGTCATGGTTGCCCCAAACTCTGTTGCTCTCCTTTATGAAGTTGTCCGGCTTAAGTGGAGTCAATAACTTAGTCCTTTGCTTCCCCTGGTTAAGAAAAAAGTCATCCAGGGCAGGAAATTTAGCTCAGTGGTGCCACTGCCTGCCTCACAAGCACAACATCCTGAGGTCAGTCCCCGGTACCCCCCACCAGAGAGAGAGAGAAAGAGAGAAAGTCATCCAAAAATTAGGAATTCATCAAAAAGATTATTGCATTCCCTCTCAATAATACATGACTCACTGTATAACCACCCACTTGCGAGTAGTCTTTGTCTTAAAAAATCAGAAGAGAAAGATAACTAGCCAAATTCTTAAACAATCCACCTTCAATAGGCATGACAATAAAACTCTTTCTATAGTTTGGTTGGTTGTTTTTTTGTTTTTGAAACAGAGTCTTGCTACATAGCCTAGGCTGGACTTGAACTCACAGTGATCCTCTAATCCTTTCTCTAGGCCCTTCTTCCTCTTCCCTGCCCTCCAGCAGCTCTGGGGCTGTTTCTAGGAATTCAAAAGGGCAGGACAATTCAAAGTGACCTCCAAATGCCCTCTGCATGTATCCCATGAAGCTGAGGGGTGCTCACAGCCAACAGCACAAGAGGGCAGCAAGGTGTTTTCCTAAACTCAGTCCCTGTCCCCCCCACCCCCACCCCTGCAAAATAAGACATTTCTGTAAAGTAGCAGCAGTTGGTATGTATGTATGTATGTATGTATGTATGTAGGTGTGTATGTATCTGTCTCACTATGTAGTTCAGGCTGGCCTTGAACACACAGTGATCCTTTTGCCTCAGCCTCCCAAGTGTATTAGTGGGATGTGCCACTAATACAGGGCACCAAGTAACCAAATAAGGGAAATATAACTTTCAACCTGCCAGATATCTGAAACACGAGTTTGTGTTCTCTAAAATCAAAGAATGAATTCTAGGAACAATGGAGGTGAAGAGTAGGGAGAAAGAAAGATAGTTTCTAAGAGACACAGAAGGGGGACCTGAAAATGGGTTTGCTGCCCACCATCCCCTCTCAAAGGTGTTTTATGGGACAAAGCCACGAGTTGAGACAGATACTCTCCTAAAGAATCCACTTGTCAAAAATAGGCTTTTGAAAGTTTATTCTAGTGAACAGAGACTAAAATCAGATTCTAGCAGCCAGTTGGGAGAAGCCGCGTTTATCCATCTGTGGGTGGAATGACCTGCGGAGAGACAGATAGTGGCAGCTAGATGAGGTTTCATTTGTAAGGGAATGGGCTGATACCAGGGGAGAGATATTAGCAATTAATCAGGAAAGAAATTAGGTTTTGAAGGGGCTAAGGACTCTGGGGTGGAGTCCTTCTCTGCTCCAGGGGGGTAGTATATTACATTTTGAGTCCATTTGCTCTATTTGCTAGGTAGCTGCTGTTGTCTGCTAAAAGCAGCCTGTTTGCTTTGTCCTGTTTGTGAAGGACTCATGTAAGTCAGACCTGACAGGTACAAAACTATAAGATCCAATGAAAAAGTCACAAGATGGTCATGAAGTGGGACAAAACCATGTTCAACCAATACGATTGCAAATATAGTCACCCAAGTAATATTGGTTAACTGGAGATCAAATGGGGAAGCTAGTCACGTAGCAAGTGTAAATGGATTTTAGGGAAGGAATGGGCTAGGTAGGGATGGTTTTGGCCCCTATTTAGAATGTCAGTCACTCCTATTCCTCCATAGGGGAAGTAGGTTGATGTATTAGTTTCTCTCTTTTTATATTGTTAACCTTCAGTGAATGTGCCTCAGTTGTTTTCTATGCTGTGGGCCCAGCCTTGTCCAACTGCCTTATAATTTCTAACTATCTTAGCTGTCCGCAATACCACCATGCCTGGCTTTGGTTCTTGTTTCTAAAAGCACAAATTTTTTCTTCTACCACAATAGAAGATAGCAATACAAACACAGCAAACTAGATCTTTTTGGGTCATAAGGCTTCCCAGGAAACTGCTCCTAAATTTATCATACTTTTCTCTCCTCTTGGAGCCTAAAAAAGAGTTACATAGATGAAGAATTTCCCTTTAGGAGCAAAACCTTGTTTTCTCAGAATTGAACCAGGGATTTCTCTCCTGTTCTCCACATATAATCTGAGGCATCTAAACTGGGCCAGGTAGCAGCTCTGAGGCCCAATCCAAAACAGCATAAGGAGTCAGCTGAGAAAGCGACCACTCCTACTATTGCAGATAGCTAAATTAGTTAGAGATTATTATGTAGCTGGGCCCTCAACATAGAAAAACAATTGAAGTACATTCACTGGTTAGCATTATAAAAAGAGGTACTACACTACCTACTTCTAGAGATGAATAGCAATAATTGATACTCTACATAGACATCAATCTGCCTAGCCCATTTCCTTTCCAGAAATTCCTTGTATATGACTTGTTTTCCCATTTGATCCCCATTTAATCAATATTACCTGGCTGACTGTATTTGTAATCTTATAGGTTAATTACACTTTTGTCCCACCTCATGCACACCTTGTGAGTTTCCATTGGATCTTATTAGTTGGCTCACTTTTGTATCCACCTTAACTCAAGGCTTTGCTCCACAAAACCCCCCTGGGAGGGCTGGGGATTTAGCTCAGTGGTTCCACCACCTGCTGCGCAAGGACAGAGATCGATCCCATGTGGGGGGTGCGGGGAATGGGGACAAAAACTAAACCTGGGAACAGGGGCCCTGGGCAACTCACTTTCAGGTCCCTCTTCTGTCTCTCTTAGACAGAAGCCATCTTTCTCTCAAGAAATTTTTCCTACTCTTAGCCTCTGTTGTTCCTAGAAGTCATTCTTCAACTTTAAAGAATATAAACTCAGGCTGGAGATTTAGCTCAGTGGTTCTGCTGCCTGCCTTGCAAGTACAAAGACCCAAGTTCGATCCCCAGTACCAAGAAAAGAAAAAAAAACAAGATGAACTCGAATGTCAGATATCTAGCCGATTGAGAGTTATATTTCCCTTGTTTAGATTATTTTTGCTTATTTGGGTTACTTGGTGTGCTGTATCACTACCTCTGGGACCAGCTCGAACTCCAAGCTTCAGTCAGCAAAGAAATTGAGGAACACATAAGCTGAACATCGCAATTTCTAAAAACAGAATTCCTAATTTTGAGATTAATCAAGACCTCCTTTGGTTTTACATTACAGATAAGTCCTTCCCTTTCATATCTCAAATGTGACACTATAGCAGAAATTAGTGAGAAAAGAGAATTAATTCTATTAGGCAATAAGGACAGTGGCCCCAGAATAGGGTCTGCTGAGTCATAGCTAGGGGTGGGAGACTCTCCCCAGAAATTCCAGGCAGACCACTGGCTCCAGGGCACATGGGTACAGCATGAAGACTGCACAGACTAAACCCTAAAAAGTATGTAGTCCCCTATAGGGGAGATTATTTTGCTTACACAATGACCCAAGCTCCCTCCTAAACCCCTTAAAAACCCCTAAACAGAGGGCCAGGGATTTAGCTCAGAGGTTCTGTCACCTGCCTCACAAATACAAGGTCCCAAGTCCGATCCCGATACCAAATAAATAAATAAATAAAGTGCATGTGAAATATAAATGATTTTTTTAAAAAAACAAACCCTAAACAAAGGGCCTTCTTGGATATCCTACTCAGAATCCCTTCCCAACTAGCAAGCACTTTACTTCCTTACCTTTATAACTTTTCAATAAAGTTGCTTGCATGCTACCTCCTATCCATGGTTTCATTTTTGTCATCATGGGACACGACCCCAGAATTCTGGTAAGAAGACTACTTTAGGGGACCTGGCATGGTGGCACATGCCTGTAATCCCAGCACTCAGAGGCTGAGGCAAGGAGGATCACCATGAGTTCAAGGCCAGCCTGGGCTACATAGTGAGACCCTGTCTCAAAAAACAAAACAAACAAACAAAAAGCCTCCTTTAGGAAGCTGCCCTGCACATGAAGAAGCTGTCCTCAGGAACCTCCACATTTAACCCTTTTGCTTACTTTGACTACAGGAGGCCACTAACCTGAGTCAGCTTGAGTTGCCATGATGCATACCAGAGACTGAGTAGTTTAAATACAGTCAATTCTTGGTTCTGGAGGCTAGAAGTCCAAGGTCAGGGTGCTAGTACAGTGGGTTTCCTTCCAGAGCCTCTTCTGGCCCGGAGGCAGCACTGGCTGGTTGTGTGTACACATAAGTTGCTCTCTGCAGTCTCTCTCATAAAGGCACCACTCTGTTCACCAGGCCCTCATGACCTGGCCTGACCCTAAGCATCTCCCAAAGGCCTCATCTCCAAATACCACCACCCCAGGAGTTAGGACATCAACATAAACTGGAGGATATAGTTTGCCATCTGGGTTTGCTTTCAGGTCTCAGCCTTTGGGGCCATCTCCTCAAAGCCCACTCAGGGATTGTGAAATGATAACTGAGATCACCGTGTGGTATTGAAACTGCAGTTTCCTCTAATTTTTCATGACTAGAGATAGGAAATCATTTTTTAAAATCATTACCCTATAATCCCAGCACTCTGGGAGGCTAGGGCAAGCTCAAGCCCAGCCCAGGCAATTTAGCAAGACACTGTCTCAAAATTTTAAAATGGCTGGGGATATATCTCAGTGGGAAGTCCCTGGTTTCCATCACCAGTACATCACCGGGGGAAAAAAAAAAGTGACCGGCAATTTTAAAAGGTGCTCTTTAGGTCCTTCCAGAGAATCATAGAGAGTAGCGTTCCTTTTTTCTTTGAAACAAAATGTCTGCAGAATGTTCTTCTGGAAAGAGAATAGATAGATACAGGAACAGATGACAGTAAGTTCCTCTCTGTAGGGATCTAAAAATATCACAGTATGCCACATGTTAAAAGGCATTAAAAATTCACAATGACTTTCATTACACCCTTTTATGTTTCCTTTTATGGACTATGATTCCTAAGAATGCTCCATCACTAGAGATTTCACAAAGGAATACTTATGATTACTGCTAGGAAAATACACAGTGTTGAGATAAGGCTGATTCTTCGGTCTTTTTCCCCCTTTCTTCTTTTATTAAAATATTGATGGCACAATCATTTATCGAAGAATAACAAATAATGACAGCTAATACTTACTGAATTCTTAATATGCGCCAGCAATTTGCTAAGTGTTTTATATTCTCTTTCTCATTTAATGCTCGCAAGAACCT